AGAAAACTTTAATTGAGAGAAAGGAATAGGTTGTAAAGTCGAGAGAGGTAGGAGGCAAATGAGAGTCTATTCAACTTCTTAATAATTTTGAAGGAACTGGAAAAACATATGATTAACCCACTAAAAATAGTCTTAACAAAAATAACTCCTTCAACCCTTGCTTTAAGCAAAATTAATTGCTATAATTTCTCATGTTGGCAAATACCCATCTTGCCCCTCAAGTTTTCAAGTTGATTTCCATCAAGAGCCTTGGTAAACAAATCATCCACCTGTAGCTTAATGACACCATGTTCCAGTTTAATTGTCTTCTTCTCTACAAGGTCAATGTGCTTGGTTCTGCTATGCTGAATAGGGTTCTTGGAAATATTGATTGTATTCAGATTTTCACAATACAATGTCACAACATCTTGTGAGACATTATACTCAGTGAGCATCTGTTTTGTCCAGATAATTTGAGAACAGCTACTACCAGCTGCAACTATTTTAGCACAGAGTTGAAAAGGCAATCTTTTGACATGAATCATAGCTCTGGCAGATTCTTGTATGATCCTATTTTTCCTTCTGTCAACTCCATTTTGATGAGGAGTTATAGGAGAAGAGACTTCATGACTCATTCCTTCTGAGAAACAGAATTTATTAAACTTGTTGTTTCCAAATTCCTTGTCATGATCACTTCTGATTCTGACAATACATCCTTCTTTTTGAGTTTTCTTGCACTGTTCTCTAAAAACTTCAAGGTTATTCACCACATCAGAAACATATCTCTTTTTACCAAGCCTTTCAATTTGATGTTCACCACAAACCCTCCTTTTATCAATTTGCAGTCTTGGAATCCTTCTGACTGCTTCCATAGAGATAGTTCTTTTCATTCTTCTTAGATGAAGATGGCCAAGTTTATGGTGCCACAGTTTCATCTCTTTTTCTTCTTTGGTAATAGAACACATAGTGGAGTTATTAGTGTTCTCAGGCTGCCACAAGTAACAATTATCTTTAGATCTGATTCCTTTCATTACAACTTCTAGTTTTTCATTAATTACTAGACATTCAGATTTTGAGAAGTTGACCTTGAATCCTAGATCACACAATTGACTGATACTAATGAGATTAGCAGTCAAGCCTTTTACCAATAGTACTTCATTCAGATTTGGAACTTCAGGGCAGTCCAAATCACCAACTCCTTTGATTTCACCTTTAGCGCCATCTCCAAAGGTCACATAACTAGTGGTGTGAGGTTTAACATGATTGAGAATGTTCTTTATTCCAGTCATGTGCTTAGAGCACCCACTGTCAAAGTACCAGCCTTCCTTTGCATAGGCTCTCAGGGAAGTGTGGGCTATCAGGGCAGTAGCCTTTTTCTTCCATTGAGGAGTATGTGGTACCCTTTTTGACTTAGGTTTAACACCTGAGTTTTGATTAGGGTATCCATGCAATTTGAAGCAGAAAGGCTTTATGTGGCCATACCTCCCACAATGATGACATCTCCATCTTTGGTACCTTTTCTTCATATGTCTCTGTTCCTGATGTTGAGAGTTGTGTTGAGACATCTGCTTTGACATTTGTTTATTAGACGTGATCTTCTTGTCTGCACCTGATTTCTTTGCTGCCACAAATCCTAGACCAGACTTATTTCCCACAGTTTGTCCAACCTGAAGGATTTCTTCCAATTTGTCTGTTCCATTTGTCAGCATCTTGACAGATTTGGTCATCTGGTTTAGTTTTGAGTTCAGCATTTGAACTTCCCTTTCTAGATGACTTATAGTTTCAAGGTCTGCCCTTTTTTCAGCCTCCAGCTTTATGATGAGTTTTGATTGTTTCTCATTTTGCACACAGACTTCAGTACTTCTGATACACAATTTCTTGTAAGTATCAGCCAGTTCTTCAAATGTTACTTCCTCATCACTAGTGTCACTTTCAGAGGTACAAACACCAGTTAGTGCAATAACTAGTTTGGCAGATTCTTCTTCAGAATTACTTTCTGAATCATATTCAGACCAGGTAACAGTCATTCCTTTCTTTTGTTTCTTAAGAAAGGTAGGACATTCAGCTCGAATATGCCCATATCCTTCACAACCATGGCATTGAATTCCTCTCCCTTGATTTCCCTTCTCTTCTGACCTTGGTCTTCTGCTGGAACTATCAATGTCAGAGGGGATGTTATGAACATTCGACCTTGACTTTGGATCTATTCTTTTAATAAGTTTGTTGAATTGTCTTCCAAGCATGGCTATAGCTTCTGAAATATTTTCTTCTTCATCCTCCTTGTTTTCAACATCTGTGTTGGATACAAGTGCTATGCTCTTGTTCTTCTTGTCACCATTTTCAGTGATCCCCATCTCAAAAGTCTGAAGAGACCCAATAAGTTCATCCACTTTCAACTTGCTGATGTCCTGGGCTTCCTCTATGGCAGTTACCTTCATTGCAAATCTTTTAGGCAAGGATCTGAGAATCTTTCTCACCAATTTTTCTTCTGACATCTTTTCTCCCAATGCTCCTGAGGTGTTGGCAATCTCCAAGATGTTCATGTGAAACTCATGAATGGTTTCATCTTCCATCATTTTTAGATTCTCAAACTTGGTAGTCAACATCTGAAGCCTTGACATTTTTACTTTGGAAGTGCCCTCATGGGTAGTTTTGAGAGTGTCCCAAACTTCCTTGGCCAGTTCATATTGATGTACTAGTCTGAATATGTTTCTATCAATTCCATTGAACAAGGCATTTAAAGCTTTGGAATTACCCAGGGCTAACTCATCTTCTTCTTTACTCCAATCTTCCTCAGGCTTCAGACTGATTGTCCCATCTTTCTCAGTTATGGTGGGATGGTTCCATCCTTTGTCAGCAGCTCTCCAAGCCTTTTTGTCCAGAGATTTTAAGAAGGAAATCATACGAGGTTTCTAGTAGTCATAATTTGTTCCATCCAGAATGGGTGGTCTATTTCCAAAAATTCCTTCTTTGTGCATAGTGCCAGAAAGTGATATCCCTAGATCTCACCCAGTAATACAGGCAGGGTGCCTGCTCTGATGCCAATTGAAATTATGGCTGTAGATACTCAATGTCACGTTCAATGTTATGACACCGTATCTGACTTTCTATAAGACAATAAATACAAAAACAGTAAAGAACACAATCAATTGTTTACCCAGTTTAGTGTGCAACAACATCTACTCTGGGGGATACCAAGCCAGGGAGGAAATCCACTATAAGAGATATTAATTCAGGAATAAACCAACCAGTTTATCTCCTTCACTTAAGACCTACCCAATGCAACTTCAATCTAAGTACAACTTAAACTTGAGTTCCTACTCACTCCCCCTCAATCACAGCAGTGATACTTAAAACAATTGACTAATGATTTAATAAAGACACTCTTCAAAACATACACTTGATTATGCTTCACAGCTTTTTAATCAAGCAACACAAACACTCTTGCTTCACATCTTTGAGTGATACATAAACCTAACTTGACTTTGCTTCAAAGCTTTAGTCAAGAGACACAAAACACTCTTGCTTCAAAGCTTTGAGTGATACAAAACCCTTACAATTAAAACCTATTCCAAGTCACTTATCACAATGATACTTGCTTGGATTACAATAGTTAAAACTATACAGCTTCTAAATGATCTTCTGTCAAAAGGGATAAATTCCAAACAACAGCCCTGTTGAATATATAGCAGCTGCTTCTTCAGTTAGGGTTTCCACAAAAAACTAGGGTTAATTCCATTTGGCCTTAAGACTTGGTCACATGACTTTATCAACCAGGTTAGGGTTAAGCTAGGTTAACCCCAAGACCACGAGAGATTCTGTTCTGGAAAGACTGAGTCATTTTCCTGAAAAAACTCAGATTTAACCAAACTGCATAACTGTTAGTTCAGAACAGGATGTCTTAACATTTGTTATGACATCTGAATTCCTGTTTACTGATTTTGGTAAATGTGATCATTTTGCAAAATGCTCAGATACACACTCATAAACAGCAGCACCTGTATGACATTATTTTTCTGCAAAGGCACCTAATAAATCAGTACCTAATAAACTAGAATGTTATGACATCAGTCATGACATTCACACACCTGGTTTTACCAAAAATGCATGCCAATAACTAAACAACTACAATGTTGGTTTAGTTCTCAGTCTTTCCAGATTTAAGTCATAATCCTGATCCTACACGGTTGGTATTTCTTTTATGGTATTTCTTATTTTAAGCCTTTTTCAAATTATGGCAAAAAGGGGGAGTAATGGTGCGTGCATCCATCAGAGCATTTATCAGTAGGAGCAGAAGTATGCGCAACAGCAACACATTTGTAGCATGGACATAAATCATGAGGTAGTTACACAAATGAATTATGAGGTAGTTACCCACATGATAATTCTACATTGTTATATATTTGAATGCTCCAAATCAGTCTATCATGCAATCATTCAAGATAAGTTAGTCATGCATGAACACACAACTATTAGTCAATAGTTAAGATCAAAAGCTACTACTAACACACATCAAGATTATCACACACAGATCTAGGCCAGATGGCAGGCCAAATGCTTCAGCATGTGTGCTTTCAAAGGAAAACCAAAAAACCAGAAAAGTTAGTACTAGTTGCATCATTTAGTATTAAACCTACCAGGTATCAACATATAACAGCTCCCTCACGGTCAGTAGTTAGTAGTTAGAAAAACTAACCCCTACATACACCATTACTCCCTTTTTTGGCCACAATTTGGAAAAAGTATTCCTTAATAATTTTGGTCAGTCATCATAGAGGTTAGTATGTTAGCACATACATACATCAAACCATAAATAATGGTACAAATGTTGAACACCATGCTGGAGCATCATAAAAATTATTGGTACAAAAGCATAAATACTATCAAGTCATTACAACATCAGAACAAAACATGCCCAGATACAAGGGCCAAAATGAAGCAAAAACACTTGTAATCATCAGTCTTCAACCTTCAGGTAGAAGTCTCAAAACTTCAGCTTCTTAGATCAAGAGCCAATCCTATCAGTCCATATCTGACTCAGAATCACTTGAGTCACTTGATTCTATTAGTTCTGCAGCTGCAGCTTCTATGTTTCTTATCTTCTTAGGATTCAAATTTGTGATCATTATCTTCTTAGTGACAAATGTTCCCACAGAAGGTTTAACAAAGGTGATGTTACTCTTAACATTTCCAGACGAAGAGGAACCAATGTCATTGGTCTTATTTGACAAAGACATTAAAAGTTCACCAACATCCTTAGGTACATCGATTTCTTTGCCTGAGAAGCTTCCAGTTAATTTCTTAGAAGTATCTTTGGAATTTTGATTTATTTTGCAGAAATAAGGATGAGATTGAAAGATCACAGAGGGATCCGTTATATGAGAGCAAAATGATGTAAAGTATAGGTTGTTCTTGATTGTAACGACAACCTAGTTATAACACAACTAAAATAAGAAAAGAATTAGCCTTATTTTACGTCCCATAATGGTCTTGGGGGAGAGAAAAGCTTTTTCTATGTTGGCACGACTCTCAAGCATTGATTGTTACAAAGTTTCAAAAATGTAGATACCAAGAGTATCCTTTGAATTTTCAACTTAAATTTCATCCCATGTTTTAATGAGTATGTCTCCCAACTGTTTCTGAATGACAATCTTGTTAACCAAAATTTTCCTCATAAAGTGATTGTGATACGGTGGGAGAACTGACTTGGGTGTTTTACGTTTGATCGCAAATGTTGCGGTTAGCAAGAGTCGCCACCGACTTTTCTTTTATCCAAAAGGAAAGGTAAAAAAAGCATAGGAAATACCTTTGAGATTATTTCTTGAGTTCGGGGGGTAGATTATAAAAAGGGAAGGTATTAACACCCTTTTCATCCATGGTTTTCCATGGGATCTTAGTTACTTGCTAGATCACTTGCTTTTGTTTGAAATTGTGCTTTTTGTGGTTTTTGAAAGTATTTTGAAAAGAGACCATTGTTTAGGCAAACTTTGTAATGATTCTCGTTCGTAAGAATGTATACAAAGATGTTGATCTTTTGAAAATGTTTTCAAGTTTGTAAGATGTTTTGAAAGTGTAGGTGTTTGTTTTGAAAATATCAAGGATGTTTTGTTTTGAAATTGAGCAAGTAACTAGGAGCATTCTACCTACTAAAAAATTCTTTCATGTTCATTTTCTCTTTCCTTTGACATTGTTATCTTACCATTAATTTGGTAAGTAACCCTATCTTTGGATGTAAACGGGACGGACGTGGGTCATCGTATAACCATGATTAGAAATGTTGCAAGGTATCTTAGCATTCTCTTTTAGGGACTAAGATCATTTGAAAGGCAACATAGATAGCGTCATCGGGGGATTATGATCTTGTATTTTGCTTGTTTTTTCTAAGATACCTCACATGCGTAATATGGCCATTTTGTAAGGCAACCAAGTGGATTTTACCCTAGGGGTGCTTGTGTGCAAGTGTATTGTTTTTCATGCTTGATTTTGTCTTTGATTAGGGTTTTCTATTTGATTGGTTTTAGTCTTTCCATACAAACCCTAATTACTAGCATTTGTATATAAAGCGATAAATTGCGGAATTTAAAATTACTACACTATTACACTACTTGTGGGAGGGGGGTGTACAAATTATAAATGGGGATTGCAAGAAAGTAAAGCCTAATTATCTATTACAACCATATTGAATTTGTACAAGAATTGAAATAAATAATGTACAAAAATGGATAAATGTTTAAGAATGTAAATGTAAAGTAAATGGATGTTTATTTGGATTTTTAGGAAAAAGGGGTTTTGATTTTAACCTAATTAACTAAAGGGAAAATAATTAATTAAAAGTAAAACCTAAATTACTAGGAAAAGAAATTAAATAAAACTGTAATCTATTGATTTGTTAAAAAGAAATTAAGTTTATAAGAAAAGTATTTTTTGGTATTTTGTCTTAAAAATAATTTATAGTATTATAAAATATTTTCGGTCTTTTTAAATATTAAAATAATATATTTAAATTGTGTAAAAGAAAATAATTAAAACTCTAGTTTTTAATTAAATTTACAAAATAATTAGTGAAATAAATAAAGTATGATTAAATAAAATAATTTTTGTGTGATAAAAATAAACTATGTCAAAATATAAATCTAATATTTTTATATTTTTTATTATTTTTTTCGTATTAGAAAAATATTTAAGAAAACAAATAAATAAAAATAAGAAAAAATAAAATAAAATGGGCCAGGGGTGTGGATAGCATGCAAGGGGGGTTAACAGTAAGAAAAAAAACAAAAAGGCCCAAGGGAGGCCCAGACGCCTGTCCAAAAAAGTTAGAATGTGTAAAAAATGTATTAAAAAAAACCAAAAGGGGTACCACTGGGGCTCGAACCCAGGTCCCTCAAGTCACAGGCGCGCGCTTCTCCTACTGGGGTGGCTATACATCCGTTTATATAATCAAAACAACAAATATATGATAGTAAATAAATCCATGGCCTGAGCTTCATCTTTAACCTCGCGCCTAGCCAGAGCATCTGTATCTTGTTCAAATCTCAACAAAAATGAAAACCGTAAACAGGATACTTGTAGCAAATTTCCTCACGATTTCAGAAATGCAAAGAAATAAACTTATAGATCAAAGATAAACTTGAATTTTAATGGCCCTAATCTGAACCCTAAAAATCACAGAAACTTCAATCTTAAAATTCTCTAAGCTCAAACAAAATTAATAAAAACAATGTACATGGTTAGTTTTAGGGCAATGATATCTACATTTTTCATTCATAAATAAACCATTAATGATGTCTGTATGAAAAGTTCAAAAGTAAAAAAACTTACCTTTCAAGAGGGTATCGGGTTTGGAGTTTGAGTAGCTTTCAGTGAGTTCCAATGATTGGGTTAGCTTACTCAAGTTCCCAGGAAGTTAATGGGATGCTTAGCTTGAGCTGAAAGTGCCTGAGGAGTTCTGGAGAAGACAAGGTGCAAGGTGCTGTTTTTGAAAATGGTGGATGATGATGGAGGTGTTACAGTGGTGCTACAGGTTTTGGGATTGTTTGTATATGTTTTTTAGAAACTTCTGAAAGTAAAAGGCCAAGAAACCCACGAGCAAATTTGGTGATTGGATTCAAAACTCAGAAATGATAGGTTTTGAAGTGTTTTTGGTTATTCTGTGTTCTAGGTGTTTTCAGGGCTTAAGCATGCGTGGGATTTGTGGCAAATGACTTGTGTATCTATAAGCAAAAGGGTTTGAGTGCTTTTGAAAATCAGAAGTACAAGTTACAAGCTATTGATTTTCAAGAAAAGTGGGAAAACAAGTTTCAATGTGTAGTACAAGCACGGGCTGGGTGATTGTAAGTGTCTAACAAGTTTCTCTTGAGTTATAAGACATGTATGATCAAAAGAGAACAAGCGCAAGGCTCAAGTATAAGTTTTGTGCAAAAAGTCACTTTATCAAAATGGCAATGTGCACTTTCTTCCCAAAATGGATATAAAGCATGACCTTGCATTGAATGTTTGAAATGAGACCTTTAACAGTTGTGCAAGTAATTAATTATGGAGTGCCTAACAAGTTTGAGGCTTTCAAAGTAGAGGTTATGCAGCATAACTTTGAATTTGAATCTTGTTCATCACAAAATGCCTTGTAATTCAAGTGATAAAACCCTAACTTCATCTCTTCGATTCTCCCTACTCAAGAATGATCTCAAGGAGTTCTTGCACATTTTGGAAATATTGTAATGTGCTCTAAAACCCATCTTTGAATCACTTTTGAAACTTCCACTTGGAACTATATGAAAAAGTGCCATGAAGTTGGGTCAAAATCTTGACCAAATTAGGGCAAAATTTCACTAAGTGTTTTGTTTCATGACCATGTGTTCCTAAAATTATAACTTGAGATCCAAGCAATTTTGGAAGGAGTTGTGTAAAGAAATGTTATAGATTTCATGGAGATCTACCACTTTCATGTTGGAAGTTTCCTTTGAATCATCTTGCATCATGGTGAAAATTTTGCTCAAAGTTATGAAAAAATAAGAAATTTCCAACACTTAGAAAAATTTCTAAGTTTAGAAATTTTAACTTTTCAAAATGAAATCTTGAATTTTTGATTTCTTGATGAATAAGTTTATTTTTACATGCTTTGATAAATTGTGATCTTTGACATTTGATTTTGACCAATAAGTCAACATTTGACTTTTCAGTATACATTTGACTTTTGATCAGTTGACTGAAAATTCATCTGTCAATCCATTGGACTTGAGCAATGTTTTAAGCCATGTCATTAGGTCAAAATTATGTAATTGGACTCTTGAGATCAATCCTTAAACGAATTTATCATTTTCTAGGTCAAAAATCAGAAATTGCCCTTTCCCAGTCAAAACCCTAATTTTGACTATTTTGCCCTTTTGAAGATTTGATCAAATTTCTTGAGGAATTATGGTCCAAACTTGATCAAATGATACATATGAGTTTAAAATGTTGACGTAGATAAAAAATTATGAAGTTTGACTACAAATTGGCCATAGTTGACTTTTCCCCAATATAGTTGATTTTTAGGTCAAATGCTCAATTGACTGAGCAAAAGTATGATCTAAGGATTGAAATTTGACATGAGTAAACTTGAGGGTCCATAATGATCCATGAATTTCATATGGGGCATTGGAAGTTCAAATATCTTTGTGCAATCTCAAACCCTAATTTTGGTCATCAGTGCTTAAAGAGGTGTCTTGAGCTGATCAACCCTAGTGCAGTCTTGAGCCAAAGGGGATCTTGTGAACAAATTCTTGATAAATGAGAGGGAAAATTTTGGGGGTACAAAAGCTTCCCCTGTTCAACATTCTTAAGCCTGAAGAGTTAGATTGGAGATTTTTTCCATTCGTGACTCGAAGGTGGAAGATGATTGGACACTAAAGTGCCCAGAAATTTGCACTCGAGGATGTGATGGTTGATGGTATAAGGAATGAGCTTAAAGATTCCATTTGGAAAGGAGATGAGAAGTTGTCAGAGATAGGCTTGCCGATGCCATCCAAAATCATTACTGGACTGTATCTGAAAGAGAATCTGAATGAGTATCATAATGGCGTCAGTGTCTGAAGCGTATATGAACTGTATTTGAGAGCTGAGTATGAATGAGTATCAGAATGGCGTCCATGTCTAGAGCGTATCTGAACAATATCTGAGAGTTGAATCTGAATGATTATCAGAATGGCGTCTGTGTCTGGAGCGTATCTGAATTGTATCTGAGAGCTGAATCTGAATGAGTATCAGAATGGCGTCCGTGTCTGGAGCGTATCTGAACTGTATCTGAAAGTTGATTCTGAAAGAGTATCAGAATGACATCCGTGTTTGGAGCGTATCCAAACTATATCTGAGAGCCGAATCTGAATGAGTATCAGAATGGAATCCGTGTCTGGAGCGTATTTGAACTATATCTGAGAAGCTGAATGAGTATCAGGATGGCATCCGTGTCTAGAGCGTATCTGAACTGAATCTGAAAGTTTAATCTGAAGAACCCGTGCTGGATTGCTTCAGTTGGTCGTGTAGATAATTGTCCTGGCTT